AAAAAAAACAAAAACAAAACCAACAACAGCAGTTCCAAAAGCTTGTTGTTAAGCTTACATCTCAGTTCACACGAGACGCTTGTACCTAATCTGTGGAGTCAGGGCATCCATGGACAGTGGCCGCTTTTATTTATTATCTCCCTGTGGATTATAACTGTGTTTCTCAAAAGAACTATTTCAGAGTAGGTTGGCTGTGTCTCAGCTTTCTACCAAAAGGACTCCATCATAGAGGCTCTTCTTCCTAACCTCCTAGTAGCTTTCCCCCAAAGGTTTCCAACCACATGGATCTCTCTAGGGAAGATAATTTCTAGTTTCCGTTGGGTCCAGCTCTTTTAGGAATGGAGTTCCATGTTGTCTGCTAGAACATTGGGCTGAGAGTCAATAAATTTTTAAAACTTTACCTTTGAGGCAAGGTATTTAGTTTCTGTGCTTTGGTTTCTCCTCCAAATACTTAGTTCAGACTTAATTTATTGTGCAAATAAATGAGACATACTGTAGTACATATTTTGTTTCTTGAAAATATATATAAAAGATGTTTCCCTGAGGCTTTGGGTTGGGCATCACAGTTCCGGCCATGGTTGTTATGTCTTGAGAATCACCTGCTAAACCTTCAGGTTCCGATTTGAGGTGAAGTCTTCCATCAGTCCCTGGATCAGTTCCCAGTGATCTCTCTCCTCTCTATTTTCTGTCTAATGTGGTTATATTCCTTTGTAGTGTCTAATGCTTAGGATCATGCTTTTTATTACTTTCTGTTTTCTCGCTGATTATGTAATGTGTGCTTAACGTCCTTGGTCATTCCCAACACTAAATGAGTATCAGGAGGGTCTTAGATTTGTTCGTATCCCGTTTATTCCTAGACCAGAAAATGTGTAGGAATCGAAGAACCAGTGACACTTGTTTTTGAAAGGATTTCCTTCCTGATAAATTACCATCCCCACCCCCCCTTTTTTAAAGATTTTATTTATTTGACAGAGAGAGAGAGAGCATAAGTAGGCAGAGTGGCAGGCAGAGGGAGAGGGAGAAGCAGGCTCTCTCCTGAGCAGGGAGCTGGACGTGGGGCTCGGTCCCAGGACCCCAGGATCATGACCTGAACTGAAGGCAGCCGCTTAACCAACTGAGCCACCCAGGCCGCTCTTTCTCCTTTTTAAAAAATATTTGTTTATTTATTTATTTTGGGGAGAGGAGTTGGGGGTAGTAGGGGAGGGAGGGAGAGAATCTCAAGCAGACTCCCTGCTGAGCATGGAGCCTGATGTAGGGCTCGATCCCATGACCCTGAGATCATGACCTGAGCTGAAATCCAGAGTTGGACGCTCAACCGACTGAGCCACCCAGGTGCCCCCTACTGTTTTCTCCTTTATTCTGCCTTCTCTTAGCACTTCTGCACATAATACTGGTTTTCTAATTTTTCTGTACCACTTGGATTGCAGGCATTGCAGGTCTAAAAGGGACTCCTATCATTTTCCTTTGATACTTCATCAGCATGTATTTTTTGAGCCCCTCTGTGTCAGCCACTATGTTAGGGGTATGTTTTGCCATTGTAGAACAGAAAGCCTCACCTCCACCATTGCGTGCATGTAGGATGAATTCTTGAGTGCCTCTTGATGCAGTATAATGATTAAACTCTGGAGTCATGAAAACCTGGGTTCAAGCCCTGGCTCTATTCTATATTAGCTTTGTGACCTTAGACAAATTATTTAACTACTCTTAAACCTTAGTTTCCTGATGAGGTAATGGGGATAATAAGAGGATCAGCTTCATAAGTGAGTTGTCAGTATTCAGTAAGTCAAAGTGTAAGATGCTTAACACAGTGCCTGCATATTATAAATGCTCAATTAATGTTAATGCTTAACACAGTGTTTGCATATTATAAATTCTTAATTAATGTTAGCTATTTTTATTATCAAAAGCTCATTTGCAATAGAGATTATAGTTTTTGACATAACAGCAGGAGTATAACAGGACATGGTTTTGTCAATAAAAAAATTAATTTTTTTGCCAATAAAAATTTTAATTTCTAAAGAACACTTTTTTTTTTCTTGAGTAGTAAGTATAAAAGTTACTGCTTTACTATAGGACAGTGATCTCCAATATTGTTTAGGAGCAGAGTCTTTCTCTCCCCCTCTCTCTGCCCAAAAAAGGCTAATGTATCAAACATTAAACATAGAAAGGGTCTTTAAAAAAAAAAAAAAGAAAGAAAGAAGCATGGGGCACCTGACTGGCTGTTGGTAGAGCATGCGACTCTTGGGTCCGCGTTGGGTGTAGAGATTACTTAAAAACAAAATCTTTAACAACAACAACAACAAACCCCACAAAAACACCAAAATCTATAGATTTTGGTGTCATCAGCACCCATAGCTTGAATTTGACAAAACAAGGAATTCTGGGCCCCGGCAGCAGGTCCTTGAGTGTGGGCTGGGGTCTTCGTGGGTTTCTTCTGGGAATCACTGCTACCTAGCTAACAAGAGACCTAAGTTCTGAAAGCAAATGTGGATAAATTAAAGCTAAGTGATGTCCAGGCTTTTTGAAATTGGAAGATGGATGATCAGAGTGATTTGATTTATTTGCTCAGGCATGCAAATGCCTTCAATTAATGATAAATTTCTTTCCATTAATTTTGGTATACTGTTAGCCCCATTATTAGCTATGTGTTATATAGTAGGAATCTAATACATTCTGTGCAAATCATAAGCTGTCCTTGGTAAAGTTCAAGTATATGCCATTTTAAATAAAGCCCTTCCTTAATTTTTTGTTAATTCAGACTAATTGAACAAGTAAGATGATAATTATTCTCTTTACAAAAGACAGTCTTACTTTAAAATTTTACTATAAATTTCTTTAAATGGTGAGCTTGCCTCTGTTTTTAATTACTTAGGGCTTGGTTTACTTAGACCTTTTAATATACATTGTCAATAAAGAATCCTATTTGTTTCATTAACTAGGTCTAATCTCCTGATTTTTGAATAGTGAATGTAGTTTTGTCATCAGAAAAATGATTAGCGATCCCACAGAGCCATTGTGGGAGCTGGTGTCTGTTGATGCACCAGGACTCAAGTGTTAAAAGCATTAACCTTGAGAAAAGAGATCCATTTTATTTTTCTTTTTTTAAAGATTTTACTTATTTATTTGACAGACAGGGAGAGAGGGAACATAAGCAGGGGGAGTGGGAGAGGGAGAAGTAGGCCCCCTGCCGAGCAGGGAGCCTAATGCGGGGCTTGATCCCAGGACTCTGGGATCATGACCTGAGCTGAAGGCAGACGCTTAACCGACTGAGCCACCCAGGCGCCCCTAGAAAAGAGATTTATAATTTTTTTGAAAAGATTTTACTTATTTATTTGACAGAGAGAGAGACAGTGAGAGAGGGAACACAAGCAGGGGGAGGGCCAGAGGGAGAAGCAGGCTTCCCGCCGAGCAGAGAGCCCGATGCGGGGCTCGATTCCAGGACCCTGAGATCATGACCTGAGCTGAAGGCAGTCACTTAACCAACTGAGCCACCCAGGCGCCCCAAGAGATTTATAATTTTAAGTGTGTTTAAACCTCTCTTGATGGGAAAATCTTGACTTTTTTGTTTTTGTTTTTTGGTAAAGATTTTATTCTTAAATAATCTACACCCAGTGTGGGCCTTGAACTAGCAACCCTGAGATCGAGTTGTACGCTCCACCCACTGAGCCAGCCAGATGCCCCCTGAAAGAAAAGTTTTAAGTAGAGCTAGTGCTTGGTGTTAGTTTTCATGGGAGAAACATTTTTCAGCTTATCCTCATAGTTAGGAGAGCTTGTGTCCTTTTTGTTAAATGTTTAGTATATATTCTTAGATCTTTTCATCTTCTCTGCAGGCAGGCTTTCTAAGCAATTTTAATTTTTTTTCTTTTTAAGAGACGGAGAGAGAGTGAGTAGGGGGGGCAGAGGGAGAGGGAGAAAATCTAAAGCTGACTCCATGCTGAGCTTAGAGCCCGACTTAGGGCTCAATCCCACAACCCTGAGATCATGACCTGAGCTAAAATCAAGAGTCAAACACTTAACTGACTGAGCCACCCAGGTACCTCTTGGGAGAATTTCTTAATGGTTACATTTTGAAATTTAGTTCTAGACTTTAAAAAACCCCATAATATGTTTCCTGAAGTTCCAAAGGCATGGATGAGGGAAGGAACTTGGGTAAGCACATGGTGGAGAGTATATTTGAAGAGCTCACAGGGGACAGGGACTATAATGTGTTTTTATGTGTCTTGCATGACATGGCACCTAGTGGCAATTAATAAATGAACGAATATAGTACCACTCATAATGACCATTAGACTTTACTTGATTGAGAAAGTGAATCGTATCATGCATTTAGAAAATTTTCTGGAGGCACCTGGCTGGCTCAGTCAGTAGAGCATTTGACTCTTGATCTTATGGTCATGAGGTTGAGCCCCACATTGGGTATAGAGATTACTTAAATAAATAAATAAATCTTAAAAAAAATTCTGGAGATGATGAGGGGGCTTGAAATATACATAGTCCTTTTCTACATTCTCCTTTTTGGTCACTACATTTTAATAAAAAGGAAGGGGATAGAAATACTACACTGAGGCGGCGTCTTAGCATAGAAGATGTAAGGTAATTCATTAATTATTGTATTACATTCTAAAATATACATTTCTTCATATTTTAATACTTCTGATGTTGCAAGGCATTTCATTATTGATGGCTGATAGAACATAAATAATCATGTATCCTGCAATTAACGGCATCTTAAATGCATTAAAATATGGTGGCCATCCTCATTTTTTACACAGCATCTGCTTGGTTTAGGTTCTGTGTCAATTTCTTAATTTTTATTTTGAACATCAAACTTCTAAGAACAATGTAATGGGATTAATGTCCAGAATTTTAACAAATTATTTTGTATATTGAGTTTCCTGGTTTCAGAGAATGGACAAGATACTGCGAGACAGCTCAGTCGAATTTGTATAGTCGAATTTGTATGAAGTGCAAAATTACCCCTGCTTTCCGTCATTTTTCAGGAGCAGCAGGGAACTGTGGACAATTCTGCTTGGAAGGTCAGCTCTGAGAGAACTGGTAAGTGGATGGTGTTCTTGAGTGGATTTTATAGTTTTTATGTAGCTTGTGTTACAATAAACCCCCGAAACTGCCTTGTCTTTGAAGGAGGAAGTAAATGCATTTTTTTATTCCTGAAACTTTATAAACATTATGCATTCCCTGCTTTTCTCTGCTGAAACGTGGTGTGTCTTCTAGCTCAGCTGCTGAAGTTTCCAAACCTCTACCTCTCTGTGTTCTTTGGTGATTCTTTATCCGAAAAGATACCAGTGTTGCTCGACTGGCTGCTCAGGGTTGGGGGACAAATACCATTTTGCTGCCTTAGGCTAAAGAAAATTCTTAGTCCTTTTCTGTCTCCTACTTTACTTTCCTTTTCCTCTTTTTCCATGTTGCTAGCTCCGTAGGTCACAGAGGCTGTGGTTTCTAGGACATTTCCAAGTATAGTAAAGGACAGTTCTTCATGATGATCCTTGAGTGTTCTGACCCTGTGAGAGTAAAGCGTTAAGATGATGTTCAATTATTACTATTGTTATTATGGTAATTAACATAATGAGTATTATACCTTTTTTAGAGCCTTAATTTTTTTTTTTTTTTTTTTTAAGTAGGCTCCACGTCCAACGTGGGGCCTGAACTCATGACCGTGGGATCAAGAATCACATGCTCTACCATCTGAGCTAGCCAGGAGCCCCTAGAGCCTTAACATTTTTGATATGATTTCATCTGATAATTCTACTTCTAGGAATGTATCTTACAAGAAAGAAATCCTGAAAGTTTTGTGTATATAGCTCTTAACGATAGTGTTATTTATATTAATAAGGAATCACAGCTTAAGTATATCTAATATTAGAGGCATGGTAAATAAATTATTATCTAGCTACTTGATAAAATATTATGCAACCACTAGAAAGGATGTTTATCAAGATTTTCATAATAAGGTTAAGGGATGCCTGGGTGGCTCAGTACGTTCTGCCTTTGGCTCGGATCATGATCCCAGGGTCCTGGGATCGAGTCCCACATCGGGCTCCTTGCTCGGCGGGGAGCCTGCTTCTCCCTCTGCCTGCTGCTCCTCCTGCTTGTGCTCTCTGTCTCTCTCACAAATAAATAAATAAAATCTTGGGCACCTGAGTGGCTCAGTCAGTTAAGCGTCTGCCTTCGGCTCAGGTCATGATCCCAGGGTCCTGGGATCGAGCCTCGCGTCGGACTCCCTGCTCAGCGGGAAGGCTGCTTCTCCCTCTCCCACTCCCCCTGCCTGTGTTCCCTCTCTTGCTGTGTCTCCCTCTGTCAAATAAATAAATAAGATCTTTAAATAAAACACAAAAAAACACAAATAAATAAAATCTTTTTTTTTTTTAAGAGTTTATTTATTTATTGACAGAGAGAGACACAGCAAGAGAGGGAACACAGGCAGGGGGAGTGGGAGAGGGAGAAGCAGCCTTCCCGCTGAGCAGGGAGTCCGACGCGAGGCTTGATCCCAGGACCCTGGGATCATGACCTGAGCCGAAGGCAGACGCTTAACTGACTGAGCCACCCAGGCACCCCACAAATAAATAAAATCTTAAAAAAATAATAAGGTTAAATCATTGTTAGAGTGTTAAAGCAAGGAAAAGGAGGCTACAGAATTCTTTCTCTTTTTTTTAAAGAATTTATTTATAGAGAGCACAAGGAGGAGGAAGGGCAGAAGGAGAGGGAGAAGCGGACTCCCTGCTCAGCGGGGATATGGGGCTCGATCCCAGGACCTCAAGATCATGACCTGAGCCAAAGTTAGTTGCTTAGCCCACTGAGCCACCCAGGCGCCCCCAAAATTCTCTTTTCAAAATGATTTCAACTGTGGGGAAAAACATTAAAGACTCAGGATTATGTAAATCCTTATATAATTTCTTTGTTCTTTTCTAGAATCAGATTGAGGCAGAACTGAATAAACATTGGCAGCGGCTCTTAGAGGGGCTGTCCTACTATAAACCACCCAGGTATGGCTATTCCATGTGTCTGGTTAGAGTAATTCCCCTGAGGAAGCTGGGGTAGTGAAACCGTCTTCGTGTATGATTTTATGGTACTGCTGGCTTAGGGAGATTACAGAGAATACAATTTGGTTACCAGTGGGAGAGAGTTGGGCACATTTTTTATGTCTGTTGAGAGAAGGGGAAATTCCTTTTTAGAAATACAATGTTATTGAATCCAGTTATATAACCCTCGTGTCTGGGGTTGAGGAATCATTATCTCTTCTTCAATTAATAGTTCTAATGTGTATTTTGGTCCTCTGTGTTTGTGTGAGGTGCTGTCGGCACCAGGTGCTGGGATAGGGCAGTGAGCAGTGATAAGAGCAGCTGACCACTTACAGAGTGTTTACTGTGTACCAGTTATTCTTCTGAGCTTGCATAGCAAGTTATTCAATCCTCATAAAAGCCCACTAAGATAGATACTATTTTTATTCTGTGCTTGAATATATAGATTTTTTTTACTGGGCAGTGGAAAACAACAATAACAACATATAGAGTAGTTTTAAAAAGAAAAGAAAACATCTTGTATGATTAGACTCTCTTATGTTAACTCCTAGTCCAGATTGCATTTTGTGGTGCATCGTAGTTGCCAAGCCACCCTCGTTTCCTTCTACTTCTTGAATATCTGATTTTTTTTACATCTTCACCTTCCGTCTTCATTTCCTTAGGTTAATGAAGAACTTTTTTTTTTGTTCGTTAACCCTTCCCCCATACCTGTTTTGAAGTAACTCCCAGACATCGTGTTGTTTTATCTGTAACTACCCTGTATCTAAAATACATGGACATAAAAAAAGAAGATAATCACTATATTATCATATATAGGTACTTTTATTTTTATCATTTCCATTTTACAGATGGGGAAAGTGAGGCACAAAGAGGTTAAGTAACTTGCCCAGGGTCACACAGCTAGTAAGTGTAGAACCAGGATTTGAACCTGGCAGTCTTACTCCAGTGTCTGTGTTCTTTTTTTTTAATTTTTTTTATTTTTTATTTTTTTAAGATTTTTATTTATTTATTTATTTATTTGACAGAGAGAGACATAGTGAGAGAGGGAACACAAGCAGGGGGAGTGGGAGAGGGAGAAGCAGGCTTCCCGCCGAGCAGGGAGCCCGATGCGGGACTCGATCCCAGGACCCCAGGATCGTGACCTGAGCCGAAGGCAGACGCTTAACGACTGAGCCACCCAGGCGCCCCTCCAGTGTCTGTGTTCTTAATCATCATTCTGTGTTGCCTCTTTCAGAACTGACTGTTTCACCTAATCTAGCCTTTGTGTTGTGGATTTCCTGTGAAATGTGAGAGTCTCTCTAAAAAAAAAAAATCCAACAACAACAACATGCTTGTAGTTCACAGAATGGACACTTGTGGCATTACTTTCTTTTTTTAAAGACAAAAGTTCTTTTATAAGTAGCATGATATTCGACGTCCAACAGGCTTTTTTTTTTTGTAACTTCAGGCTTTATTTGAATTCAACCTTTTTTTTTTCTTTTCTTTAATGTCCTCTTTCTTCCCAGGATCCAGTCCAGGATCCCACACTGCATTTAGTTGTCACGTCATTTCAGTCTTCCCTGAATTTTTATGATCTTGAATAGTTTTGAGGAGGACTGGTCAAGTATTTTGTAGAATGTCTTCAATTTGGATTTGTCTCATGTTTTTCTTATTATTAGATTGGGGTTGTGGGGTTTGGGGAAGAATGTACGGAAATGAAGTATACCATTCTTATCATAACAGAGGATGTGGTTATCCCCATGAAATTACTGGTGATGTTAACCTTGCTCGCTTGGGTAAGGTGGCATTTGCCAAGTTTCTCTTCTGTAAAGTCACTTTTTCCCTTTTCCCTACTCTGTGTTTTAAAAGTAGGTCACTAAGCATAGCCCATTCTCTGGGTGGGGGTATAGTGGAAATAAACTCTACTTCCTGAAGGGAGTGGCATCTACATACATTATTTGGACTTCTTGTGTAAGGAAGATTTTTCCCTTCTCCCTATTTATTTATTTATGTTATATGGGCTCATGTATATTTATTTTATACTTTGCTCATACCTTGTTTTAGCTTTGGTCACTGGGAGTTCTTTTGGGTTGGCATCTGTGTCTTCTTGACATTCCCCCATCTTTTTGTTTTCTGAATACTTCCTTTCTTTCTGGCATTACAAGATGCTCCAGGCTCATCTAGTATTTTCTCTGCCCCAGCTCTAGAATTAGCTATTTCTCTAAGGAGTCCTGGTAACTTTTATTAGATAATGGTGTTAGAAACCAAGATCTGGGGGCTGGATGTGCTCACTGCAACTGGGGTGTTATAGCTTCTAGGCCTTCTCAGTGAGTAGAGCTAGGTAATATATGTATGTATACTAACAGACCTGGTTTTAAATTTCATCTTAACTTTTTATTAGCTGTGGGATTTTTGGTAAGTTATTTATTGTTTCTGAGTATTAGTAATTCCATTTATAAAATGGGGATAGTAATATTTCCCTTTTGTAGTTGTAGGGATCAAAAATAATGTAACTTAATATGTCCACATATAATGTTATTATAAATATAGTTTGTAACAGATATATACCATATTTATTATTTAGGCATAAGTAGTTTTATGTTATAAAGTCTGTAGAGATGAACTTGTTGTGTGTGTGTGTGTATTTTTGTAGGCACCTAAAGGGCAGAAAAAGGTCTGTTGTAAAAATATCTTTAAGTATGTTTATTTAAAATCCTTAGAGGGTCATTGAGAATGAGGAAATGATTCACTGTTCTTTTCATAGTCCAAATTCAGCCGAAAAAGTGAAAGCTAATAAAGATGTGGCTTCACCGTTGAAGGAACTGGGTTTAAGAATCAGCAAGTTTTTGGTGAGTAAAAATTAGCACGGGCTCAGTTTACTACCTGCATTATGGATGTGCATTGTTTTATTGTTAGTGGTTGTTAGTGAAAATTCAGTTTACTTCAGTTTTGGAGATTAAATTGAGCATATTGGGTTTCAAAAATATCCAAGTTGTAACTCTTCCTGTTCAAAGCCACAAATTAAGTTGCCACACCTGTTTACTATTATCCAGTTTTCTTCTTCATGCATGTGGTGTTCTTTAAATTGCCTAGATTGTATTTAAATGTGTAGCTGTTTCTTTTTAATTTTGGAAACCCAGATCATGCCTGTGACTGGATCAGTGGCTTGGTAAATAAGCGCAGTTGTTTCTGACATTGTAAATTTAATTGTCATGTAAATGACGTATCTGTGACTGGCTCCTTTTTCTCCTCATTGGGGTAAAATTATGTTGTGTCTTTTAATCTTTTAAAAGGATTTTTGTTTATTCAAGTTCTGTGTTCATTCTAGAGGACAAATCTTTAGAATGCTTTGCGTTCTTTTTTTTTTTTTTAAAGATTTTATTTATTTATTTGACGGAGAGAGACACAGGGAGAGAGAGAACACAAGCAGGGGGAGTGGGAGAGGGAGAAGCAGGCTTCCTGTGGAGCGGGGAGCCTGATGTAGGGCTTGATCCCAGGACCCTGGGATCATGACCTGAGCTGAAGGCAGACACTTAACCACTGAGCCACCCAGGCGCCCCAGAATGCTTTGCATCCTATGTGTTTCCTGAGCCAAGGTGGCTGTTCCTCACTTATGACCCCTGCATTTCAGGGTCTTGACGAAGAACAGAGTGTGCAGTTACTCCAGTGTTACCTTCAAGAGGATTATAGAGGTACTCGGGACTCACTAAAGGTTTGTAGTTATGTCCAGCTCCTTCCTCTTGCCTTCTTTTTTCCTTGTTGGTTATAGGTGTTTAAAGGTTTTGGTACTGGTTTTTTGCAACAGATGTAGGTGATCAGATACAGAGATTCTCAGGAGAGGTCAAAGATTGACATGTTAATGATAGAATCTCAGGACATCAGAGCTAAAACGACCTGGGACCATATCTAGCTTGTCTGGCCCCTCATTTTACATATGAGGAACTTGAGTCCAGAGGAGCGGGCAGAGATTTGAACACAGATTTGGATACACTTAGGTAAAAAAATATTTCCAGAAATGAATGCGCACTTATAATCTTGAAAGGTGAGGTGAAGATGTTTACCTTTTTTTTTTGTTAATTGAGCTTTGCTTATAAGATGGATGCTTGACTGTTCTTTTTTCCTTCAGACGGTACTGCAAGACGAGAGGCAGAGCCAGGCCTTAATCCTGAAGGTGAGTAGCAGTCACTGTTTTCATTCTTTGATGTGAAATTGGGTGGTGGCTTCCTGACCTTGTTCTCCTGGGCATTGCTGGCTTTGGACTCTTTTGTTGGGTAAGCATTGAGGTCTCAATAAAGTAGCTTAGTAACATACTTGTGAAACAAGAGGCTTTTTATCCACTGGCCCCAGCTGAGACCTTTTCCAAAGGAGACTCTTCAGCTGCTGGGGGTGAAAATTGCTTCATGTGTATTTTTTCTCTAGGTCTAAATGCAAGAAGGTCAATTTATATTTCTTCATTCCTTTATCTCCCCCCTACCCACCAAAGCAGCATTCTCATTTAGGATCTCATATAAAATGGAATTTGTGACTTCAGAAGTAGTTTCCTATTTGGTATTTATCGAGAACCAAGTACATTAGTTACAAGCAGGATATATACAAGTTTTTTTTTTTTTTTTTAAGATTTTATTTATTTATTTGACAGAGAGAGAATGAGAGAGAGAGCACATGAGAGTGGGGAGGGTCAGAGGGAGAAGCAGGCTCCCTGCCGAGCAGGGAGCCCGATGCGGGACTCGATCCAGGGACTCCAGGATCATGACCTGAGCCGAAGGCAGTCGCCCAACCAACTGAGCCACCCAGGCGCCCCTACAAGTGGTGTTTTTATATTTGCTTTCATATATTTGGCCTGTCAGCTACAGCTGTATTATGTGTTATTTGAATGCTCTGAGAAATCCTGCAAGACAACTTGTTTATATTTTTAAATAATTCCTTTTATCTTGCATGGCTTTACTTGTATACTATTTCATGAAGGTCTTTTGCTTTCTTTTGGC